GTGACTTCTTTGTTCAATCTGTATATATATATCCGAAGTATATAAGTTTAGTACTTTTGTGTGGTTAAGGTGTGACGGACTGACGTGGACACATTAATACAGTTTGGTCAGTCCTACTATTACTTTTACACTAGAGATGGAAAAAGAGCGTCAGTTAAATTTCTTATACATGACCGGATGAAGGACGTCTCTGTACCACCACACAATAGGTCGTGTAACCCACGAACACAATTGTATTTAGAGCTTTCAAAATCTGCACTCACAATTGTGATTCAAGATCAGGCTTAATTTTCTTGAAACATCTAGCTAGAGATAGAGGATATAATTATTGATAGATTGTACAAAAAACATAACAATAAATTAAAAATATCATCATGTAGGGAAAGAATAGAGTTGATAACATGAAGGTTTATTTGCCATATGTTAAAGATTTATCAACAAGAATAGGCAACATAATAAATATGTACATTCATACATATATGTGGGATTTACAAATTTTCTTGTGTCTGTGATCGAATTTACATTGGCCAAGCCTGCAGAAATTTAAAATTTAGGAACATAAGATGCAGTAGATAAATATAAAGTAAATGAGTCGACCTTAAAAGAACATGTGGCAGGCCCATCACATGTTATAGACTGGAGTAACTTTAAATTACTAAATCAGGTTGAGTTTAAATTTGAATTAAATATCATAAAAACAATAGAGATTAAAAAAAATCTGTTGAAAAAAGAAGTTGGTCCAGGTTTAGAAGAAATAAAATACTGGATATATGTTTTATAAACTCTGGGTGTTTTAAGCCTAGGTGGCGCTAAAGGAATATAAATAATTACGTAGTATATAAGTTTTGACCAAACTTCAATTCTTACTCCTGAATACTGTGGCCTAAGAACACCGAAACACGTAGTCATTTTAGGGCTGGTTCCTCTTTTAATAAATTGTTTATTGTGCAATAATTTTAAGGTTGTACTACTTTTAACTCTTTATATTAGTAAACTTATTTAATTATAAAAAATATATACTGAATTTAAATCTTGTTGTTGAAATATTAAATGCTTTACAAATGTGAACTAGATTTAATATTCTCGGAGTCTTCGTACTCAAAGGAAACACTAGAGACGAAGTAAGAGCTGAACTGGAACATCTGAAGAAGAGCGACACCCGGGTCATTCTGCTCTACGCTACCAAGGAGGAAGCAATCAATATCACGAGCGCAGCATACGAGTTGGGGATGACGGGTAAAAACTATATGTGGATTGCTAGCCAATCAGTTGCTGGATCAGGAACAGTCTACTCTGCTCCTGACCAGTTTCCCATGGGTATGTTAGGTAAGGACACTTCACTGACCACCAATACACCTCATACATCACGGGGAATAGCTGAAAGATAACAATCTGCTTAATATAAATTATACCTCTGGTTGAAGTCATTATGAACTGAATATCTAGTAATCATGTACCTTATACCTCTGATTGAAGTCATTATGAACTGAGTATCTAGCAGTAACGTACCTTATACCTCTGGTTGAAGTCATTATGAACTGAGTATCTAGTAGAACCAGAGGTATAAGGTACGTTATCAGTTCATAATGACTTCGTATCTAGCAGCAACGTACCTTATACCTCTGGTTGAAGTCATTATGAACTGAGTATCTAGCAGTAACGTACCTTATACCTCTGGTTGAAGTCATTATGAACTGAGTATCTAGTAGTAACGTACCTTATACCTCTGGTTGAAGTCATTATGAACTGAGTATCTAGTAATCACGAATCTTATACCTCTGGTTAAGTCATTATGAACTGAGTATCTAGTAATCGCGTACCTTATACTTCTGTTTGAAGTCATAAGTCTATATATAAGACTCCATGATTTCTTCGTCACTTTTGACGTCATAGACCTGTTCATTAACGTCCCAGTTATAGAAACTTCCACGTCACCAAGTCAATAATATATATATATACATATTCTCTATTAATCTCACAAAAAAATGTAGTCTCCGGGTGGATCAACGGACTTTCAACGCTAATTCGGGGTTCGATTCCCCATAGTAGACAAAGTCCAGGTAACCCACTGTATAGCTTTGCACTAAGGTAGCAACAACATGTAACCTTTGTTGAAATTATCAGACAAACATTATTATCGTTGACCTTTCAAACTTTTAATAAGTCGCAGATTTTGTGAAATATTGAAATGTTGCTTAAACGAATGTATAACATATAGAAATTGAAACTGTATATTTAACATAAACAAAATTAAACAATTCAAATTTTCTATTATAAATAGTCAACGAATGTATAACATATAGAAACTGAAACTGTATATTTAACATAAACAAAATTAAACAATTCAAATTTTCTATTATAAATAGTCAACGAATGTATAACATGTAGAAACTGAAACTGTATATTTGATATAATTATGTCCCCTAGTCCTACTATTCCTCACTGTTAAGTATGATAAAAGATGATACATCAACCACTATAA